TAAAAAAAGGAAGACAGGGAAAAAAAAAAGGGGATGTAAATAGTGTGCTTTAAAAAAACTAGCCTAGACAGGGCTTTGCAGCAATGGTTTTTGTTTTTTTTTATTTTTTTTTTTTTTTTTTTTTTTTTTTTTTTTTTTTTTTTTTTTTTTTTTTTTTTTTTTTTTTTTTTTTGGGGGGATTTTGGGGGGTTTTTTTGTTTTTTTTTTTTTTTTTTTGGGGTTTTTTTTTTTTTTTTTTTTGTTTAAAAATTTTTTTTTTTTTTTTTTTTTAAATTTGGGGTTTTTTTTTTTTTTTTTTTTTTTTTTTTTTTTTTTTTTTGGTTTTTTTTTTTTTTTTTTTTTTTTTTTTTTTGGAAAAAAAAAAAGGATATAGGAAAGTACTTTTTTAATAAGTTTGGATGAGTGGAAAAAACCCCAAATACCGTTATAGGGGCCAGAACTTGTGTACTTTAAAAAAGGTTGGATAAATACATGTGTGGGGGGGTGTGATTAGACCTTAGCTTGTGCTACCAGTCGTTGCCGTGTTCCTCCCTTAAAATTGACCTGACCTGACTAGGGGGGGTTTGGCTTAACCCGGGAGGAGACGGGACCCCTTGCAGGGGCCAGTGGGCCTTCTCAGTTCCTTCTTCTTATGTTCTTATGTTCAAATCCCCCCATCTATTGAATTTTTCCCTCACAGTGATGATTGCAATCTCATTTAAAAGATTAGACAACTACGAAAGTGTTGCAAATAAATTTTACTGTAAAATTTTCAAAAATGTGACTTTGGGGAAGCCCAGATTAAAAATCTCGTTTTAAAATAAGGAAGGGACTAGTAGCCCCCACAATTTAAAAGGGCCAAGCTATTTTAAATTTTTCCAAAGCTTAGGGCAGGAAAACCCTTCAAAACATTTTGGGGATGGTACTTCTACAGGCATTTTTTCCCAAAATTTTTCCAAGAACCCCCCCTCCTAAATTTACCAGTCCTAAATACAAATTTAAATGGATGAGAATTTTGAGCAAACTTTTAAACGTTTAAAACGTTTTCTTTCCTCCACCCCAGTATTGCTAGCACCCGATTTCCAAGTTCCTTTCACCCTCCATGTTGACGCCAGTGATGCTCGTCTCTGGTAACTGGCTAAGGCTGATTATCCGGCCTGGACTTATTCTGTTGTATTCTGACTGCTTCCTAATGGGAAATAAGACCTTATACTCTAAAGTAATCTCTGTATATGTATGTTATGTCTAGGATCTCATCCCAACCATGTGTCATAAAAGCCTTATATATATATATTTCGGACAATATAGAACAAACAAGCATTCTTAACTTATATACGATAATTCATATAATATTATTATTGGCTTTGTTGTATTATAAACATACTTCATTAAGATAAGATTTCCGGAGGATAACTATTATTACCCCAACCTCTCTGATCAAACCAGAAGGAAACTGAGTGGTTACAACCCATGGAGTGTAACAAGGCCCATGAAAGGTAATGTCCACTGACTCTTGCTGGCTACACTCATTATATCTTGAAAAAAATATTCACCTCTTCCTCCATATACCATCTTTCATTCAAATTCATTCCACACAGGGACTGTTTAATTTGTTCAGCTTCCCTAACATTTACCTCATGGGGATTCAACTTGCCCTCTTTACAGACATACCAAAACAACTTTACAAAGTTCCACGGTGGCTGAGCCAACTCTCCAACCTTTTCCTCAGTAAAATCAAACATAAATATTCCAACGTCTTGAACAATTTTGGCATTTCTTAAATACTCATTAGTCATTACAAACACATTACCGTTTTCCGCAAGTTTACTTGTTACTATTTCATTACTTTCTAACAAGTCACTAGAAACTAGCACCTTCCCGAAACTACTCAAGACAGCAAAGGTTACACCAATACAGATGTAAATAACTGAAGGCCAATATCAAACTTACCATTGCTATCCAAAATCTTCTAGAAAATTGTGAACTGGAGACTATATTCATTTAGAAAGGCACAAAACGTACTCAACCCCAGCCAATTTGGATTCAGGAAAACTAAAAGTACTAATGACGCAATTGTAAAAATGCTAGATCTGCTTTGCACAGCATTGGAAAATAAGGAATATCTGCTAGGAATTTTCATTGACCTAAGAAAAGCGTTTGACACAGTTGATCACGGCATTCTACTCCACAAACCTGACCATTACGGTATAAGAGGCCATGCACTTGCATATTTCAAATCCTACCTTACTAATAGGTATCAGTATGTCACCTTTAAAGACACAGCATCATCAACACGGCCACTTGATACTGGAGTTCCGCAGGGAAGTGTCCTTGGTCCCCTGCTCTTCCTCATTTACATCAATGATCTTCCAAACGTATCCCAACACCTGAAACCCATTCTCTTTGCTGATGACACGACTTATGTCATCTCTCACCCTTGCCAACCTCAACACCATTGTTAACGAGGAGCTGATCAAAATATCGACTTGGATGACAGCCAATACACTTATACTTAACACTGACAAAACCTACTATATTATGTTTGGTAGCAGAGCAGGTGTTGCGCAACTTAACATTAAAATCAATAACACTCTAATTGCCAGACATAATGAGGGCAAATTCCTAGGCCTATACATCGACAACAACCTGAATTTCAGCACCCATATCCAACACAAAAAAAAGTATCCAAAACAGTTGGGATCCTCTCCAAGATACGATATTACGTGCCACAAAATGCCCTTCTCACGCTATACCATTCACTCATTTATCCATACCTCACTTATGCTATTTGTGCTTGGGGATCAACTGCAGCAACACACCTAAAGCCAATAACAACCCAACAAAAAGCTGCAGTAAGAATAAGCACTAAATCCTATCCCTGGCGACACCCCCCCAACTCTTCATAGATCTAAACTTACTCTCTGTTCATAACATCCACACTTACTACTGTGCAAACTACATCTACAGGACCTTAAATTCCAATATTAACCTTGACCTAAAACCCTTTCTTGATAGTTGTGACAGGACCCACAGACATAACACCAGACACAAACATCTCTATGACATTCCCCATGTCCGACTAAACCTTTACAAAAATTCGATGTATGTCAAAAGCCCTAAAATCTGGAACACCCTACCTGAAAACTCTTGAACTGCAGACACATTCGTCACCTTCAGAACTACAGTTAGAAAACATCTTATCTCCCTGATGCACCCCATCAACTAACTACATAAAACCCACCTGGTGGTTCACACTTACATTCACTCACTCACCCATTTGACTATAAGCACAGAAATACGAATCTTTATCTTAAAATAATGATTCCTAACTAGTCATAAGTTTGCCTGTGATACTCCAATATAGAAACTATGTATTGTGCCAAAACACAAGCATTCACATTGCTAAACTCACAAACTAGTATTTAGTCACTTAGTATTTAGTCAACTTACTCCATAATTTGTAATGATTTAGGGTTAATTAAAAATTAATCAAAGTTTGTCCGAAATGCCTAGCAATGCTAGGTGTCCTAGTGGCCCCCTGTGTAATTAGTATTTCATTACATGTAAACCACACAATAACCAAAATCTGTAAACCCCTCATTGTAAACCTTATAGAGAATAAACTTGATTGATTGAAAAACAGATTTCATTGGACTACACCCGTGTCTTTACATTGGTTGACATTTGTCCTGCGATACTCTGAAGCTGAAGGGGTTGGAGCCGCCAGTTTCAGGGAGACCCAAAAGATCAACAAATACCGAGGGCTGCCACCTTGCTATAACTTCGTCTCAATAGGGTCGGAGACCCTTGGAGCATGGAGCAAGTCTGCTCTAAAATTCCTTTTAAGAATTAGATGAAAAACTCGTTACAGAAACCAAAGACCCTAGAGCGTCCAATTTCCTTTCTCGGAGACTCAGTGTTACGATCCAGAGGGGAAAATACTTGCAGCATTCAGGGCACGCGGCCCACTGCCTGTGAGCTGGATGAAATATTTGAGAGGTAGGCTCTGAGATGTTATTTATGTTGTTCTCCTCCCCATGATATCTTCGTTAATATATTTTGTTTATAAATAAAGCTCATATAGATTATAGGGGGTTGCAGAAGAAAATATTCGCACATCTCCGGGAAGAATCTTGAGATTTTCCTGATGAACGTTTATTATTTTCTCTAAGGATGAAGATCCAGTCCAGTTCAACTAGACTGCCTCCCCTTCTCAGAGCAATTCAATTCATATAATTCTTACTACGTTAAAGTTACTTGGTAAAGATGGATTGAGATTTGTAAGGTAAATTTTCATTGAAACCGTGAGATGACTTCTTTGGTACATAATTTACGGTGTAGATTGTATCCGAGAAGCAGAGAGATAAATGGCGAAGCAAAGGTTCTCTTAAATATAGATTCTCTCACCAAGATTTATAAGTCATCTTTCGTTGTACTTCTTGAAGGACGACTGACTTCTTCTACGTAGATAAGACGGTGCGTCAGATGACACTGTATGAGAAAAAGACAGCCTGTTCCTGCATACCTTTTCGTGGGAGATAATCAATTTTTTTCCATACTGAGGTGAGTTCAAGGCTCAACACGGCGTCTCTCTTCATATATATATGGATACATGATGTCAACCGCCCCATCCTTACCGCCCATTGTACGACAACTGCATACACAGGTTTGTCTTGCTCCAGCACTCTGAGTAAACTGGCGTCCTGCACTCAACGTGCTCCAGCACTCTGGGTAAACTGGCGTCTTGCACTCAACGTGCTCCAGCACTCTGAGTAAACTGGCGTCCTGCACTCAACGTGCTCCAGCACTCTGGGTAAACTGGCGTCCTGCACTCAACGTGCTCCAGCACTCTGGGTAAACTGGCGTCCTGCACTCAACTTGCCCTAGCACTCTGGGTAAACTGGCGTCCTACACTCAACTTGCCCTAGCACTCTGGATAAACTGGCGTCTTGCACTCAACGTGCTCTAGCACTCTGGGTAAACTGGCGTCCTACACTCAACTTGCCCTAGCACTCTGGGTAAACTGGCGTCTTGCACTCAACGTGCTCTAGCACTCTGGGTAAACTGGCGTCCTAAATTCAATTTGCCCTAGCACTCTGGGTAAACTGGCGTCCTACACTCAACTTGCTCCAACACTCTGGGTAAACTTGCGTCCTACACTCAACACGCACCAGTACTCTAGGTAAACTTGCGTCCTAAACTTAACTTGCTCCAGCACTCTAGGTAAACTTGCGTCCTAAACTTAACATACTCCAGCACATTAGGTAAACTGGCGTCCTAAACTTAACTTGCTCTAGCACTCAGGGTAAATTGGCGTCCTACACTCAACACGCACCAGCACTCTAGGTAAACTTGCGTCCTACACTCAACACGCACCAGCACTCTAGGTAAACTTGCGTCTTAAACCTAACTTGCCCCAGCACATTAGGTAAACTGGCGTCCTAAACTTAACTTGCTCTAGCACTCTGGGTAAACTGGCGTCCTAAACTCAACTTGCTCTAGCACTCTGGGTAAACTGGCGTCCTAAACTCAACTTACTCTAGCACTCTGGGTAAACTGGCGTCCTAAACTCAACATACTCTAGCACTCTGTGTAAACTGGCGTCCTACATTCAACTTGCTCCAGTACTCTGGGTAAACTTGTGTCCTAAACTTAATTTGCTCCAGCACTCTCTGTAAACTTGCGTCCTACAGTCAACTCGCTCCAGCATTCTAGGTAAGCTGGCGTCCTAAACTTAACTTGCTCTAGCACTCTAGGTAAACTGGCGTCCTAAACTTAACTTGCTCCAGCACTCTAGGTAAACTTGCGTCCTACATTCAACTTGCTCCAGCATTCTAGGTAAACTGGCGTCCTAAAATTAACTTGCTCTAGCACTCTAGGTAAACTGGCGTCCTAAACTTAACTTGCTCTAGCACTCTAGGTAAACTTGCGTCCTAAACTTAACTTGCTCCAGTACTCTAGGTAAACTGGCGTCCAAAACTTAACTTGCTCAAGCACTCTAGGTAAACTTGCGTCCTAAACTTAACTTGCTCCAGCACTCTAGGTAAAATGGCGTCCTAAACTCAACTTGCTCCAGCACTCTAGGTAAACTGGCGTCCTAAACTTAACTTGCTCCAGCACTCTAGGTAAACTGGTGTCCTAAACTTAACTTGTTCCAGCACTCTAGGTAAACTAGCGTCCTAAACTTAACTTGCTGCCTAATATAATATGGAGTCGGAAAAGGATTCATCACTGATGACGTGACACCTGGAGCTTGTATCTAGTAATGTAATAACCACTGATGACGTGACACCTGGAGCTTGTATCTAGTAATGTAATAACCACTGATGACGTGACACCTGGAGCTTGTATCTAGTAATGTAATAACCACTGATGACGTGACAACCTGGAGCTTGTATCTAGTAATGTAATAACCACTGATGACGTGACACCTGGAGCTTGTATCTAGTAATGTAATAACCACTGATGACGTGACACCTGGAGCTTGTATCTAGTAATGTAATAACCACTGATGACGTGACACCTGGAGCTTGTATCTAGTAATGTAATAACCACTGATGACGTGACACCTGGAGCTTGTATCTAGTAATGTAATAACCACTGATGACGTGACACCTGGAGCTTGTATCTAGTAATGTAATAACCACTGATGACGTGACACCTGGAGCTTGTATCTAGTAATGTAATAACCACTGATGACGTGACACCTGGAGCTTGTATCTAGTAATGTAATAACCACTGATGACGTGACACCTGGAGCTTGTATCTAGTAATGTAATAACCACTGATGACGTGACACCTGGAGCTTGTATCTAGTAATGTAATAACCACTGATGACGTGACACCTGGAGCTTGTATCTAGTAATGTAATAACCACTGATGACGTGACACCTGGAGCTTGTATCTAGTAATGTAATAACCACTGATGACGTGACACCTGGAGCTTGTATCTAGTAATGTAATAACCACTGATGACGTGACACCTGGAGCTTGTATCTAGTAATGTAATAACACTGATGACGTGACACCTGGAGCTTGTATCTAGTAATGTAATAACCACTGATGACGTGACACCTGGAGCTTGTATCTAGTAATGTAATAACCACTGATGACGTGACACCTGGAGCTTGCATCTAGTAATGTAATAACCAGTAATGACGTAACACTTCCGTCTATTAATGTATTATTTTATTATTTTTATTTATAAACACACTGGCCGATTCCCACCAAGGCAGGGTGGCCCGAAAAAGAAAAACTTTCACCATCATTCACTCCATCACTGTCTTGCCAGAAGGGTGCTTTACACTACAGTTTTTAAACTGCAACATTAACACCCCTCCTTCAGAGTGCAGGCACTGTACTTCCCATCTGCAGGACTCAAGTCCGGCCTGCCGGTTTCCCTGAATCCCTTCATAAATGTTACTTTGCTCACACTCCAACAGCACGTCAAGTATTAAAAACTATTTGTCTCCATTCACTCCTATCAAACACGGTCACGCATGCCTGCTGGAAGTCCAAGCCCCTCGCACACAAAACCTCCTTTACCCCCTCCCTCCAACCTTTCCTAGGCCGACCCCTACCCCGCCTTCCTTCCACTACAGAGAGATACACTCTTGAAGTCACTCTGTTTCGCTCCATTCTCTCTACATGTCCGAACCACCTCAACAACCCTTCCTCAGCCCTCTGGACAACAGTTTTGGTAATCCCGCACCTCCTCCTAACTTCCAAACTACGAATTCTCTGCATTATATTCACACCACACATTGCCCTCAGACATGACAATCTCCACTGCCTCCAGCCTTCTCCTCGCTGCAACATTCATCACCCATGCTTCACACCCATATAAGAGCGTTGATAAAACTATACTCTCATACATTCCCCTCTTTGCCTCCAAGGACAAAGTTCTTTGTCTCCACAGACTCCTAAGTGCACCACTCACCCTTTTCCCCTCATCAATTCTATGATTCACCTCATCCTTCATAGACCCATCCGCTGACATGTCCACTCCCAAATATCTGAATACATTCACCTCCTCCATACTCTCTCCCTCCAATCTGATATCCAATCTTTCATCACCTAATATTTTTGTTATCCTCATAACCTTACTCTTTCCTGTATTCACTTTTAATTTTCTTCTTTTGCACACCCTACCAAATTCATCCACCAATCTCTGCAACTTCTCTTCAGAATCTCCCAAGAGCACAGTGTCATCAGCAAAGAGCAACTGTGACAACTCCCACTTCTCTTACAACCCCATCTATAAATATATTAAACAACCACGGTGACATCACACATCCTTGTCTAAGGCCTACTTTTACTGGGAAATAATTTCCCTCTTTCCTATGTACTCTAACTTGAGCCTCACTATCCTCGTAAAAACTCTTCACTGCTTTCAGTAACCTACCTCCTACACCTGCAACATCTGTAATAACCAGTAATGACGTAACACTTCCGTCTATTAATGTAATAATCACTAATGACGTAACACTTCCGTCAATTAATGTAATAACGAGTAATGACGTAACACTTCCGTCTATTAATGTAATAACAAAGGTAATTGTTGAAGACTGTGACAGGTACACAAATAACCCGCACATTTATTCGAAGAAAAATCAACCAATGGCTTATATCAGTTCAACACAGAAATGATATATGAAAACATTAGAAGTTGAGGTAATCGGTCCCTCGGCTTAGTAGAACTATACATAACACACAGTGGAAGATCTAATAATCAGTCTGGAAACCAGTGATTCATCAAGACTAAGATACTCATCCCAGGTTTCTAATCTCTTTTGTGTATACTTCTGTAAGACTTTGGGACTGATTACATCATCTGCTGTTTTCTGTGTATAATTCTATATGGCCGAAGGACTGATAACTTTCTTTACATTCTTCAAGTATTATCTTTGCACTGAATTAAGAAAACGGCAGTGGTTTACGGAACGTCTTAACGAGACGTCTTCAGATGAAGACATCCAGATGTTGCACATGTATCTAATTCCTCAGTATGACTGCAATCAATACTATTATTATTGTCGTTGTCGTTGTCGTTGTCGTTGTCGTTGTCATTGGCGTTGTCTTTGTCGTTGTTGTTGTTGTCGTTGTTTTTGTCGTTGTTGTTGTTGTTGTTGTTGTTGTGTTGTTTGTTGTTTGTTGTTGTTGTTGTTGTTGTTGTTGTTGTTGTTGTTGTTGTTGTTGTTGTCGTTGTTGTCGTTGTTGTCGTTGTTGTTGTTGTTGTTGTTGTTGTTTTGTTGTTGTTGTTGTTGTTGTTGTTGTTGCTGTTGTTGTCGTTGTTGTCGTTGTCGTTGTTGTCGTTGTTGTTGTTGTTGTTATTATTATTGCTCTCATTATCTATTTATCAAGGCCAAACTCCAACTAATAAGGAACCAGTTCGGTAAACATTAATGATATAGAATTGATTTTGTTAAGAAGGTTAATCTGATACAGTTAAGAGCAAGAAATAGTGAAGGAAGTTATCATCAACTGATAACACCTGACAGGTGTGCCGGATGTCAGTTCTCATCCTATCACAAACATTTCAGCTATGGCAGCAGTTAAAGAGCAGTTGCTGGTACTGATGGTGTCAGCAGTGTTGGCCAGTGTCGTCACTACAGTGTCATCACCACCACACATCATACTTATTGTTGCTGACGATCTTGGTAGGTTCCTAACCCATGTGTAGTACAGAAGAATGTGCATATTTGTGTCATTCAACTCCCTCTGTGGTTATTTTGCTTTTTTTATTATTTGTCCTCGATTATTACGTGGATGTTGTGCAGATGATGAAAAAAAATGACTGTCAGTGTTATAAACAAAGCTGAAGGGGATAGGGGAATTTACGTGGTGAGAAATAAATGGGATTAGGTCAGGAGTATCTGAGAAAGTTAGAGCTAAGGAAGGGATATCAATAATGTTGAAGTATCGGCTATGATAGGAAAAGAGAGAATTTAAAGGCATAAATTCAAGGATTATGCGGATTAAAATAAGAGCTGGATGAAAAAAGAAGGTTATAAGAAGTGTTCATGCACCTGGAGAAGAGAGGAGTGTAGAGTACAGAGACAGAGATTGTGGGAGTTGCTAAATGAATGTTTAGTGAATTTTGAAACAAGTGAGAATAATTGTGATAGGGAATGGAACGCCAAAGTGGGAGTGGAAGATAAGTTCGACATACCAGAGGTAAATCAAAACTGGGGGCATCTGATTGAACTTTGTATAGAAAGAGTTTTGGTAATAGGCAATGCATATATCCAGAAGTTTCTGGATATAGGAATGTGAGTGCGGGAGGAAAAAAGAGCGGCTGGTGGAATAATGAGGTAAAGAGAAAAGTAAGAGAGGAAAAAGTGAATGTACGAGAGGTTTTTACAAAGTATAAGAGATATATGAAGGTTGGTATATGGAGAGAAAAAGAGAGGTTAAGAGAGTGGTGAAGGAATGCAAAAGGAGAGTAAATGAGAAAGTGGATGAGATCTGTCAACTAATTTTGCTGAGAATAAGAAAAAGTTTTGGAGATTAAAAAGCTGAGAAAGCCAAGGGAACGAATACATTTGACAGTTAAAAATAGAAGAGGAGAGTAATTAAATGGAGTTGGAGGTATCGGGAAGATGGAGGGAATATTTTGAGGAACTGTGAAATGTTGATGAAGATAGAGAATCTGTGATTTCGTGCAATGACCAGGGAGTTATAACATCTTTTAGGAGCGAGGAGGAGCCAGATGGGAGTGGGAGGGAGGAATACGAGGCCGTTGGTAGAAAGAAAAGGGGTCAAGAGAGAAATATTAATTAAAATCAAGTGGGGATATAGTTTTCGAATGGTTGGAGCTTTTATTTAATAAATTTATGAATAAGGAAAGATACCTAAGGATTGGCAGAAAGCATGCATCGTTCCTTTGTACAAAGGCAAGGAGACAAAAGAGAGTGTAAGAATTAAATGGGAATAAGCCTGTTGAGTATACCTGGTAAGATGTATGGTAGAATTATTATTGAAAGAATTAAGAGTAAGACGGGGAGCAGGATAGCAGATGAACAAGGAGGCTTTAGGAAGGGTAGGGATTGTGTAGACCAAGTGTTTATGGTGATGCATATAAGTGAACAGCATTTAGATAATAATAATGAGGTTTTTATTAGGGGGTAGAGTATGGAAAGTAGTTAAGAATTTTTACAAGGATAGTGAGTATACCTGGAGAGGGTTTCGGGGGTCAACTCCACCGCAGCCCGGTCTGTGGCCGAGTTCGTGGTGGACCAGGGCCTGATCTACCAGGCTGTTACTGTTGGACATATGCAACCCGGCGTACGAACCACACCCCTGCTGGTCAAGTACTGACTTTAGGTGCCTGTCCAGTGCCTTCATGAAGTCACCCAGGGGTCTATTGGTAAACTCCCTTATGTATTCTGGGAGGCAGTTGGACAGTCTTGGGCCCCTGACTCTTACTTACTTGATTCCTTTCGTGCTACTGGCGCCCCTGATTTTCATTGGGCGGATGTTGCATCGGCTGACGAGTCTTTTACTTTCATAGAAAATGATTTTCATGTGCAAGTTTGGTACTAATCCCTCTAGGATTAGTACCTGCGTTCTAGGAAGTACAGGTTGAGGAACTTCAAGCATTCCCAGTAACTGAGATGTTTTATCGCAGTTATATGTGCCGAGAACGTTCTCTGCACATCTTTCAGGTTAGCAATTTCACCGGCTTTGAAAGGTACTGTTGGTGTGCAGCAATATTCCAGCCTAGATAGAACAAGTGACCTGAAAAGTGTCATCATGGACTTGGCCTCCCTAGTTTTGAAGGTTCTCATTATCCATCCTGTCATTTTTCTAGCAGATGCGATTGATACAATGTTATGGTCCTTGAAGGTGAAATTCTCTGACATTATCACTTGCAGGTTTTATACATCAGTTTTTCCCTCTATTGTGTGATTGGAATTTATTTTATACTCTGATATAGTTTTAATTTCCTCACGTTTTCCACGTCGGGGCAATTGATATTTCTCATCAGAGAACTTTTCATTGTTTTCTGAGGCCAATTTAGAGATTTGGCTGATGTTCGCTTTGAGTCTTGCAGTGTCTGCAATGGAAGACACTGTTATGCAAATTCGGGTGTCATCTGCAAAGGAAGACACGGTGCTGTGGCTGACATCCTTGTCTATGTCGGATATGAGGATGAGGAACAGGATGAGAGCGAATATTCTGCCTTGTGGAACAGAGCTTTTCACAGTAGCCGCCTCAGACTTTACTCTGTTTACTGTTACTCTTTTTGTTCTATTTGTTAGGAAACTATAGCTGGGGTTGTGGAAGTGGTTCGGATATTTACAAAGGGTGGAACACAAAAAAATGACTGGGAGTATAAATTTGTAGTGGAAGGAAGGAGTAGAAGGGGTCGACCTAGGAAAGGAAGGAGGGAGGGTGGTAAAGGAGGGTTTGTGAGCAAGGAGCATGAACTTCCAGCAGTTATGCTTGAACGCATTTGATAAGGGTGGAGGAAATGAGTTTTAATGACCTGATGTGCTGTTGGAGTGTAGCGAAGTAACATTTATGAAGGGATTCAAGGAAACAGATTAGCAGAATTTGAGTGCTGGGGTTGGGAAGCATGGTGTGTGAAAGACGGGTGGAGATATGTTACAGTTTTTTAACTGTAGTATCCACACACTTCTGGCAAGACAGTGATGGAGTAAATGATTATGAAAGTTTCTCTCTTCTCGACCCACCTTGTCTGGGTGAGAGACGGTCGATGCGTTAAAAAATCACATACAAACACTCATATATATATATATATATATATATTATATATATATAATATATTATAAATATATATATATATATATATTATATATATATATATATATATATTTATATATATTTTTTATTTTTTATTATCACACCGGCCGATTCCACCAAGGCAGGGTGCCCGAAAATAAGAAAAACTTTCACCATCAATTCACTCCATCACTGTCTTGCCAGAAGGGTGCTTTACACTACAGTTTTTAAACTGCAACATTAACACCCTCCTTCAGAGTGCAGGCACTGTACTTCCCACTCCAGGACTCAAGTCCGGCCTGCCGGTTTCCCTGAATCCCTTCATAAATGTTACTTTGCTCACACTCCAACAGCACGTCAAGTATTAAAAACCATTTGTCTCCATTCACTCCTATCAAACACGCTCACGCATGCCTGCTGGAAGTCCAAGCCCCTCGCACACAAAACCTCCTTTACCCCCTCCCTCCAACCCTTCCTAGGCCGACCCCTACCCCGCCTTCCTTCCACTACAGACTGATACACTCTTGAAGTCATTCTGTTTCGCTCCATTCTCTCTACATGTCCGAACCACCTCAACAACCCTTCCTCAGCCCTCTGGACAACAGTTTTGGTAATCCCGCACCTCCTCCTAACTTCCAAACTACGAATTCTCTGCATTATATTCACACCACAACATTGCCCTCAGACATGACATCTCCACTGCCTCCAGCCTTCTCCTCGCTGCAACATTTCATCACCCACGCTTCACACCCATATAAGAGCGTTGGTAAAACAAACTCTCATACATTCCCCTCTTTGCCTCCAAGGACAAAGTTCTTTGTCTCCACAGACTCCTAAGTGCACCACTCACCCTTTTCCCCTCATCAATTCTATGATTCACCTCATCTTTCATAGACCCATCCGCTGACACGTCCACTCCCAAATATCTGAATACATTCACCTCCTCCATACTCTCTCCCTTCAATCTGATATCCAATCTTTCATCACCTAATCTTTTTGTTATCCTCATAACCTTACTCTTTCCTGTATTCTGGTGACCTGGTGGTTAACGCTCTCACTTCACACGGTGAGGGCCTGGGTTCGATTCCCAGCCAGAGTAGAAACATTGGACGTGTTTCTTTCCACCTGTTGTCTATGTTCCCCATCAGTAAAATGGGTACCTGGGTGTTAGTCGACTGGTGTGGGTCGCATCCTGGGACACTGACCTAAGGAGGCCTGGTCACAGACCGGGCCGCGGGGGCGTTGACCCCCGGAACTCTCTCCAGATAAACTCCAGATAAACTCCAGATACCCTACCAAATTCATCCACCAATCTCTGCAACTTCTCTTCAGAATCTCCCAAGAGCACAGTGTCATCAGCAAAGAGCAACTGTGACAACTCCCACTTTATGTGTGATTCTTTATCTTTTAACTCCACGCCTCTTACCAAGACCCTCGCATTTACTTCTTTTACAACTCCATCTATAAATATATTAAACAACCACGGTGACATCACACATCCTAGTCTAAGGCCTACTTTTACTGGGAAATAATTTCCCCCTTTCCTACATACTCTAACTTGAGCCTCACTATCCTCGTAAAAACTCTTCACTGCTTTCAGTAACCTACCTCCTACACCATACACATGCAACATCTGCCACATTGCCCCCCTATCCACCCTGTCATACGCCTTTTCCAAATCCATAAATGCCACAAAGACCTCTTTAGCCTTATCTAAATACTGTTCACTTATATGTTTCACTGGAAACACCTGGTCCACACACCCCCTACCTTTCCTAACGCCTCTTGTTCATCTGCTATCCTATTCTCCGTCTTACTCTTAATTCTTTCAATAATAACTCTACCATACACTTTACCAGGTATACTCAACAGACTTATCCTCCTATAATTTTTGCACTCTCTTTTGTCCCCTTTGCCTTTATACAAAGGAACTATGCATGCTCTCTGCCAATCCCTAGGTACCTTACCCTCTTCCATTCATTTATTAAATAATTGCACCAACCACTCCAAAACTATATCCCCACCTGCTTTTAACATTTCTATCTTTATCCCATCAATCCCGGCTGCCTTACCCCCTTTCATTTTACCTACTGCCTCACGAACTTCCCCCACACTCACAACTGGCTCTTCCTCACTCCTACAAGATGTTATTCCTCCTTGTCCTATACACGAAATCACAGCTTCCCTATCTTCATCAACATTTAACAATTCCTCAAAATATTCCCTCCATCTTCCCAATACCTCCAACTCTCCATTTAATAACTCTCCTCTCCTATTTTTAACTGACAAATCCATTTGTTCTCTAGGTTTCCCTTTTAACTTGTTAATCTCACTCCAAAACTTTTTCTTATTTTCTACAAAATTTGTTGATAACATCTCAACCACTCTCTCATTTGCTCTCTTTTACATTGTTTCCCCACTCTCTTAACCTCTCTCTTTTTCTCCATATACTCTTCCCTCCTTGCATCACTTCTACTTTGTAAAAACTTCTCATATGCTAACTTTTTCTCCCTTACTACTCTCTTTACATCATCATTCCACCAATCGCTCCTCTTCCCTCCTGCACCCACTTTCCTGTAACCATAAACTTCTGCTGAAACACTCTAACACTACATTTTTAACCTACCCTATACCTCTTCGACCCATTGCTATGCTCTCATCAGCCCATTTTATCCTCCAATAGCTGTTTATATCTTACCCAAAACTGCCTCCTCTATTAGTTTATAAACCTTCACCTCTCTCTTCCTGATGCTTCTATTCTCCTTGTATCCCATCTACCTTTTACGCTCAGTGTAGCTACAACTAGAAAGTGATCTGATATAATTCTGTGGCCCGTCTGTAAACATGTACATCCTGAAGTCTACTCAACAGTCTTTTATCTACCAATACATAATCCAACAAACTACTGCCATTTCGCCCTACATCATATCTTGTATACTTATTTATCCTCTTTTTCTTAAAATATGTATTACCTATAACTAAACCCCTTTCTATACAAAGTTCAATCAAAGGGCTCCCATTATCATTTACACCTGGCACCCCAAACTTACCTACCACACCCTCTCTAAAAGTTTCTCCTACTTTACCATTCAGGTCCCCTACCACAATTACTCTCTCACTTGGTTCAAAGGCTCCTATACATTCACTTAACATCTCCCAAAATCTCTCTCTCTCCTCTGCATTCCTCTCTTCTCCAGGTGCATGCACGCTTATTATGACCCACTTTTCGCATCCAACCTTTACTTTAATCCACAAAATTCTTGAATTTACACATTCACATTCTCTTTTCTCCTTCCATAACTGATTCTTCAACATTATTGCTACCCCTTCCTTTGCTCTAACTCTCTCAGTACTCCAGATTTAATCCCATTTATTTCCCCCCACCAAAAACCCCCTACCCCCTTCAGCTTTGTTTCGCTTAGGGCCAGGACATTCAACTTCTTTTCATTCATAACATCAGCAATCATCTGTTTCTTGTCATCCGCACTACATCCAATATTTTTATATATATATATATATATATATATATATATATATATATATATATATATATATATATTATATATATATATATATATATATACAAGGAATTCGCAAGAGCAGGCGAAATATACACAAACACTGATCTCTGGCTGAAGGAGACTCGAACCTACGAACCTTGGAACAAGGTACACAGTGCTTTACCAATCTACCCACACTGGGCCAATACCTTGGAGTCCAACTTGAGCTAGACTTTGATCCAAGGCAGCCAGCTTTCAGAAAGAAGGCTTACAGCTTTTCATCTCATCCCCTGCACAGTGGCCCCAAAGAAGTTTCTTTTTTTAAATTTAGTAAAATATACAAGAGAAGGGGTTACTAGCTCCTGGCTTCCGGCATTTTAGACCTGCATGATGCAACTTTTTTGTCATGGATGGAGAAAATCTCTTTCATGAATATACAGAGCATTAGGTTCTTGTCCAGTTCTAATGCTATATTTATGATGTTGTTACCGTAGTTCAAGACTCTTCCCAGTTTTCACCATCATAAACACAGCTTTAAAATTGAACAAGAATCTAATGCTCTGTTTATAATTTTATTTATATAAAAGTGAACTGAATTTAGCTAAAAATATTACGTTATTTTAGGTGAGGATATCTGAAGTTTCTAAATTAGTTTAGGTCTATAATCGTCATCTTTATTTTATTGACATCTTTATTTTATTTATCCTTCAATTATCGTCCACAATCCGTTCCTGGAAGTGGGACTATTATCGAAATAGACGATTTTCGAATCAATTTTCCCAATAAGAAATAATGTAAATACAATTAATCCGTTCCTGACACACAGAAGTATTAAAACAAAAAATTTTTACATGAAATATAGATGTAGTACATAAATAATACAATGGCACATGATGAATGAAACATTAACAGCATAACACTTACCTTTATTGGTGCTTCTTCTTAGTGTATGGAAGACTGGAGGAGGAGAGAGATTGCATTAGTTACTCTTTGGAAGGGGAATTCCCTTCCATCAACACCTCACGTACCAAGTGCTTTTCTGGGGTTACTTCTCTCCTCTGTTTCTTAATGCCACTAGGACCAGCTTGAGAGTCACTGGAGTCCTGTCTCACAAAAAAACTGTCCAGAGAGCTCTGTTTCTGGCGTCTCTTTAAAACTTCCCTAAAATGGGCCAAAACTCTGTCACTGTACAAGTTACCGATATGGCTTGCAACATTCTTCTCAGGGTGATGTTTCTCAGTAAATCTTTCTATCCTACCCCACATTTCAAAAATCTTCTTAATTTCTGAAGAAGGCACCTTCTTCCATCTCTCTTCCTCCTCCTCTGCAGCAAGATTCTGAGCTGCGATCTGTTGCTCTTCCTGCTGAAACTCTTCCAGCTCCTCAGCGGTTAGCTCTTCGTTGTGGTCCTCCACCAACTCCTCCACATCCTCCAAACCCACATCCAACCCCATGGAACTCACCAGTGCCACAACAGAGTTCACATCTGACATAGGCTCATCAGGGACCTCCTCTTCAGAATCCCTTTTGTGGACACAATCTTGCCACAATTTTCTCCAAGCAGAGTTCAAAGCCCTGGTAGTCACTCCCTCCCAAGCCTTACCTATAAGGCTTATGCAATGGAGAATATTGAAGTGTTCTTTCCAAAAATCTCTTAGGGTCAAATGAGTGTCTGAGGTCACATTAAAGCACCTTTCAAACATTCCTTTGGTGTAGAGTTTTTTAAAGTTTGAAATGACCTGCTGGTCCATGGGCTGGAGGAGAGGAGTGGTATTCGGGGGCAAGAACTTTACTGTGATGAACCCAAACTCCTTCAGAATTAGGTCATTCAAGTCTGGAGGATGAGCAGGTGCATTCTCCATTACTAGGAGGCACTTGAGATCCAATTTCTTTACCAGGAGGTAATTCTTCACACTAGGGCCAAACACTTCAGTGAACCACTCGACGAAAATGCCCTCGTGACCCATGCCTTATTATTAGATCTCCAAAACACACACAATTTACTCTTCATAACATTGTTTTTCCTGAACACTCTGGGATTTTCAGAATGGTACACTAGTAATGGCTTCACTTTGAAATCCCCACTTGCATTAGCACAGAACATTAGCGTCAGCCTGTCTTTCATAGGCTTGTGTCCTGGCAGTGCCTTTTCTTCCTGAGTAATGTACGTCCTCTTTGGCATTTTCTTCCAAAAGAGGCCTGTTTCGTAACAATTGAACACTTGTTCAGGTTTCAGTCCTTCAGCCTCTATGTACTCCTTGAATTCCTGCATATATTTTTCCGCCGCTTTTTGGTCCAAACTAGCAGCCTCACCATGCCTTATGACACTGTGTATGCCAGTACGCTTCTTAAATCTCTCAACCCAGCCTTTGCTGGTCATAAATTCACTCACATCACCACTAGTTGCAGGCAATTTCTTTACCAAATCGTCATGCAACTGCCTAGCCTTTTCACAAATAAGCGACGTCATAAGACTATCTCCTGCTAATTGTTTCTCGTTTATCCACACCAATGATAACTTCTCAACATCTTCGAGTACTGGTGATCTCATTTTTGTCAGCATATTTACCCCTTTTGCAACAACAGCTTCCTTGATTTCCTTTTTCTTGGCTATGATGGAAGATATGGTTGTACGGGATTTGTTACACATCCTGGCCAGTTCGCCCACACGTACGCCACTTTCATACTGTTCAATGATGTTTTTCTTAAATTCAATCGTATTTCTCACCTTCTTTACCAAAGGCTTGGCACTAGGAGCTTTCGTTGGAGCCATGGTAGCTTATTTAGCATTTGCTAGCAGTAAAATGAATGGAATATTATGAAGTATTTCGTATGAACACGTGAGGGGACCGTCGCTCACTGGTAAACAATGGCACACTGGCTGGGAAGGGCGGCTCAGAGCCGTGAGTACGCGTCCAGGATGAAAGATGGTTAGCGAGTTAATGGGCCATTTGCGAGCCAATATTTAGACGAAATAACAGGACTATTTCCGAAATGGACGACTTTCGGGCCGGACGATTATTGAGGGACCACTGTATATTTATCATTCCATAAAAAAAATTGTTTGGAAATGTTCTATTTTTAAGAGAGTTCGGCCTATCTGGCCTATTATTTTGCTGAAAAAATCCTTATTATGATAGAAGGAAAAAGAATCAAAATTTTTTTCAGCCTAGTGAAATAAAATTGGTAACTATTGTTTCACTAAAATAAAACTGGTATAAGAGATTTTTTCCTCGGTTTTACAAGATGAATAATGATGAGTTAGAAGTTTTTTTTCTGGTTGACCTTATTTTCTATGGAATAAAAGAGTTCTTAAAGTGTTTTATATAATGACAACAAGCTGATCCAGTCGCTGTTCTGAGATATGCTGTACTGATATTATGACGTGACCTCCTGCAGGCTGGAACGACGTGTCGTGGCATAACCCTCTCGTGCAGACTCCGCACCTGGAAGCTCTGGCGAGATCTGGGGTTCTGCTGGAGCAGTCCTACGTTCTACCCTTGTGTACCCCGACCCGTTCTGCTCTACTCTCAGGCCGTTATCCCTTCACCATCGGCAGGCAGGTGTGTCAAGGTGATATAAGAACAGTCTGAAGAGTTATGTGCCATCTGGCATAATCAGGTGGTTCTACTCCAGGCTCTGATCAGAAAGGCTAAGGGATAGATTTCTAGTTGATTATAGTTAGGAATGAAGAGCTGCTAATCCCTTCCATCTTCCTTACCCTTGACAGTTGAGAACACTTACACAATTATAATCTTCATTTCTACAAGTACATGTAAAAGGTATACAGCCCTAGAAAGCCACTTGTTATGTAGAGCATTTCAGGCAAATTATTTATTTATTTATTTATTTATTTATTAATTTGAACATGATACAGAGTAGTACAAATGAATACAGTTAAGTGTAACATGCCAAAGCCCCTTGTATGCAGAGCATTATGGGCTGGCTTAAAATTAACTTAAGATTAACTAAGCAATAATATATTCAGTGGTAAAAAATTATTGTAAACAGATATTAATTAAACACAAATGAGTATTACAAAGACAGGTCATATGGTCATTTACTGTGTTGCTGTACATTCAGTAGAATGGGGTATTCTGTTAGGTAATTTAATTAAAAAATAACAAAGTTTGATTGGGTATCAGGTTAAACATTTATGAGACATAATTATGAGAAACATTTATGAGATACAATTTTTAAGATACAATTATTCAGTATTTATTTGGTTGTGGGTGAGTAATTGATTTTTTAGCAAGAGACTTGAATTTATAAACAGAAAGTGTTTCTTTTACTTTTACAGGTAATTAATTCCAGATTTTAGGGCCTTTTATGTGCATTGAGTTTTTGCATAGCGTGAGATGGACACGAGGAACATCAAAGAGTGATCTGTGCCTTGTGTTATGGTCATGTGTTCTGTTGAGGTTGGTAAGGAGATGTTTGAGGGGAGGGTTAATATCAGAGTTAAGTGTTCTATGTATGTAATAGGTGCAGTAATAAGTATGGATGTTTTGTATGGTGAGTAGGTTGAGTGTATTGAATATTGGTGGAGTGTGCTGCCTGTAGTGGGAATTTGTTATCATTCTGACTGTTTGGTAATTAATGGTCTGATATGGTTTATTGTTGAGCCCCATGCACAAATTCCATAGGTGAGATAGGGGTAAATAAGTGAGTGATCAATTATGTACCAGGATGCTATATAAACCAGTCGACTAACACCCAAGTACCTACTGTAGTGTTAGGAGAACATGGACAGCAGGTGCTTTAAGGAAACACGTCCTAATGTGTCCATGTGCACAGTGGATGAATCCCAGACCATAGTAGGTGACCTAAGTGCTCTAGCAATCCAATTACGGGTTACTAATCCCCTCGTTAGTCATCAATGGTCGGAGTTTCATTGTGATATCAGGTGATTCTTGAAGGCCATTAACCCCTTTCATTATTATCAGTTGGACAGTTACCGGGCAAAGAGGAAACTGGGGGAATTTTATCCTCCATAACACTGACAGACATGTGGACGTGACAAATACTAGACAGAGTTTTAGGTGACGGTTCTCTCAGCTACAAGAACTTATCTTTTTTAATCTAAAATATCTTACCAAACCTAACCTAGTAAAACTACAATATATAAAGTATTACTTGTACATGAAACAGTCAAATATGTAAAGCTGTTATGTTGTGTTTGATGAAGCCGAATAATAACATGTTGAACAATGAATTACAATATTACATTTAAATATAAATACAGTTTGATGGTCAGAGATAAATAAATGAAGAAGCAAAAGTCAGAAGAGAAGTAGAATGAGAGAAGAGGTATTGTGGGTGCAAGCAGTGTAAAGAATAAGTGGTGTACTTGATGAGGCCGAGAATGTATGAAATGTTGTATGTAACAGATGGTGTATATATCAGGTAGTGTGTATGGCAGGTGGTGTAAGCAATATGTGGTACAAATATCAGGTAGTGTGTATGGCAGGTGGTGTAAATAATATGTGGTACAAATAACAGGTAGTGTGTATGGCAGGTGGTGTAAGCAATATGTGGTACAAATATCAGGTAGTGTGTATGGCAGGTGGTGTAAGTAATATGTGGTACAAATAACAGGTAGTGTGTATGGCAGGTGGTGTAAGCAATATGTGGTACAAATATCAGGTAGTGTGTATGGCAGGTGGTGTAAGCAATATGTGGTACAAATATCAGGTAGTGTGTATGGCAGGTGGTGTAAGCAATATGTGGAACAAATATCAGGTAGTGTGTATGGCAGGTGGTGTAAGCAATATGTGGAACAAATATCAGGTAGTGTGTATGGCAGGTGGTGTAAGCAATATGTGGAACAAATATCAGGTAGTGTGTATGGCAGGTGGTGTAAGGAAGAAATGGCGTGAAAAATAAGTGGTGTCAGAAGCAAGTGTAAAGAATGGCTGGAGTCAGCAACAAATATTATCATGAACTAGATAGTGAAAAGAAAGTTGTTTGGGTGACAGAGGTGGTGGGTGACAGAGGTGGTGGGTGACAGAGGTGGTTGGTGACAGAGGTGGTGGGTGACAGAGGTGGTGGGTGACAGAGGTGGTGGGTGACAGAGGTGGTGGGTGACAGAGGTGGTGGGTGACAGAGGTGGTGGGTGACAGAGGTGGTGGGTGACAGAGGTGGTGGATAAAGAGGTGGTGGTTGACAGAGGTGGTGGGTGACAGAGGTGGTGGGTGACAGAGGTGGTGGGTGACAGAGTGGTGGTGACAGAGGTGGTGGTGACAGAGGTGGTGGGTGACAGAGGTGGTGGGTGACAGAGGTGGTGGGTGACAGAGGTGGTGGGTGACAGAGGTGGTGGGTGACAGAGGTGGTGGGTGACAGAGGTGGTGGTGACAGAGGTGGTGGGTGACAGAGGTGGTGGGTGACAGAGGTGGTGGGTGACAGAGGTGGTGGGTGACAGAGGTGGTGGGTGACAGAGGTGGTGGGTGACAGAGGTGGTGGTGACAGAGGTGGGGGGTGACAGAGGTGGTGGTGACAGAGGTGGTGGGTGACAGAGGTGGTGGGTGACAGAGGTGGTGGGTGACAGAGGTGGTGGGTGACAGAGGTGGTGGGTGACAGAGGTGGTGGGTGACAGAGGTGGTGGGTGACAGAGGTGGTGGGTGACAGAGGTGGTGGGTGACAGAGGTGGTGGGTGACAGAGGTGGTGGGTGACAGAGGTGGTGGGTGACAGAGGTGGTGGGTGACAGAGGTGGTGGGTGACAGAGGTGGTGGGTGACAGAGGTGGTGGGTGACAGAGGTGGTGGGTGACGAGGTGGTGGGTGACAGAGGTGGTGGGTGACAGAGGTGGTGGTGACAGAGGTGGTGGTGAAGAGGTGGTGGGTGACAGAGGTGGTGGGTGACAGAGGTGGGTGGGTGACAGAGGTGGTGGGTGACAGAGGTGGTGGGTGACAGAGGTGGTGGGTGACAGAGGTGGTGGGTGACAGAGGTGGTGGGTGACAGAGGTGGTGGGTGACAGAGGTGGGGGTGACAGAGGTGGTGGGTGTGAAGAGGTGGTGGGTGAGCAGAGGTGGTGGGTGACAGAGGTGGGGTGACAGAGGGCGTGGGTGACAGAGGTGGTGGGTGACAGAGGTTGGCGGGTGACAGAGGCGTGGGTGACAGAGGACATGGGTGACAGAGGGCGTGGGTGACAGGGGTGGTGACAGGGGGTGGGTGACAGAGGGTGGGTGACAGAGGGCGTGGGAGACAGAGGGCGTGGGTGACAGAGGTCGTGGGTGACAGGCGGGGGGTGACAGAGGTCGCGGTGACAGAGGGCGTAAGAGACAGAGGGCGTGGGTGACAGAGGTCGTGGGTTACAGAGGCCGTTGTGACAAAGGACGTGGGAGGCAGATGCTTTGGGTGACAGAGGACATGGGAGACAGAGAGCGTGGGAGACAGGGGGCGTGGGAGACAGCGGTCGTGGGTCACAGAGGGTGTGGGTGACAGAGGACGTGGGGGACAGAGGGCGTGTGTGACAGAAGACGTGGGAGACAGAGGGTGTGGGAGACAGAGGTCGTGAGTGACAGAGGTCATGGGTGACAGAGGTCGTGGGAGGGAGAGGGCGTGGGTGACAGAGGACGTGGGGGACAGAGGGCGTGGGAGACAGAGGTCGTGGGTGACAGAGGTCATGGGTGACAGAGGTCGTGGGAGAGAGAGGGCGTGGGTGACAGAGGGCGTGGGAAACAGAGGTCGTGGTTGACAGAGGTCGTGGGTGACAAAAGTCGTGAGTGACAGAGGTCGTGGAAGGGACTTGTGGTGGGACAAGATGGAATCAGCTTGTATGATAATAGGCTATTAAGAGACAAAAGAAAATATGTGGCTGAGATAGAATGATCTGAGAAGTTGCCAGGAACAGGATCTCACCCCCCCCCCACACACACACACAAGAACAAGAGTATAAACGCCAACCAGCACGGATTCATGGAAGGCAAATCCTGTGTCACAAACCTGGAGCTTTATGATAAAGTAACAGAAAACACGAGAGAGAGGTGTGGGTTGATTGCATCTTCTTGGACTGCAAGAAGGCCTTTGACACAGTTCCTCACAAGAGATTAGTGCAGAAGCTAGAGGATCAGGCGCATATAACAGGAAGGGCACTGCAATAGATCAGAGAATACCTGACAGGGAGGCAATAACGGGTCATGGTACGTGATGAAGTATCACAGTGGGCTCCTGTGACGAGCGGGGTACCACAGGGGTCAGTCCTAGGACCAGTGCTATTTTTGATATATGTGAATGACATGGTGGAAGGGATGGACTCTGAAGTATCCCTGTTCGCAGATGATGTGAAGTTAATGAGAAGGATTAAATCGGATGAGGATCAGGCTGGACTACAAAGAGACCCGGATAGGCTGGACATGTGGTCCACCAACTGGCTTCTCGATTTCAACCCTGCCAAATGCAAAGTCATGAACATTTGGGAAGGGCAAAGAAGACCACAGACAGAGTATAGGCTAGGTGGACAAAGGCTGCAAACCTCACTCAAGGAGAAAGATCTTGGGGTGACCATAACACCGAGCACGTCTCCGGAGGCACACTTCAACCAGATAACTGCTGCAGCATATCG